CGCGTTCGAACGCATTTGCATAAATCGATGCAAACTTTAGCGAAAGCATACAAGTTGGTCTTAAAAAAAGCATTCAAACGTAGGTTTTACAAGTATTTTTTCGTGGATTCATTATAATCGAAACACATTTATGTAAAGTCATCCTCATTACTCTATGACATGGTTGCTGAAGAAGAATTTTCATCGATGTTCACAGAATAATTATCGTTCAATGTCTTTCATTACGATTTAGAAAAAAAAGGATCCACTGTAAAAAAGTAAGAATCATATACATAACATATGAACCGAAATTGATCACCGCAAGAAAGTCGTATTTATTGTATAAGATATCTAATGCTAATCCTATGCTTCCGTGATACAGGAAGATTTCAAATTTTTCCATTCGTGATTGAAGATAGTAAATAATAATACCACTTAAAATCAAAGATATAATGTAGAGAACAATATCAAGAAGCAATAGTGAATGAAAAATGAAGGATAGGTTTTGTAAGCACAGAATGACAGCAATCTTAGTAATGATGTGAATAACATTTGCTATGTACAAATAATATTTAGGTTTGGCATAAGAATGCTGGAAAAAAATGTATATCAATCGATGCCAATAATATCCTTGTCGAGATGGCCATTCAATAGCCCAACATGATTGTTGTGGCTAAATCATAGTACAATAATAGATGATGTCTGAAATTATTATTATGTAGAAGAGGAACTTACTTGCGCTCCGATCCAGACCCCTATGGCGATAGGTGATTTTTCATCAGCCAAATGATTCAATCGACATGTGTAAGTACTTCTGGTCAACCTTCGGGAGCCACTCATCAATAATTCTGGTTTGAAATACCAAGACTGTTCGATACTACCGAATTTCGAATCAACTATAAATGATGCATTGGACAAATGATTGAATCCATCAATCAAGCGAATCATATCCATTTTCGAACTAATACATGAAACACTTAAATGCTCTATATTCGGATACAGGCGTAACAATATTTCAATTATGTAAGTCGTATTTTTAGTAGAGAGATAAATTTCAAGTGTTCGAATTTGTGTAATTCGTTGGTCTCGGAACTGTTCCGCCAAATCTATTTCTATCTGCTGCTGAATCGATAATTTATGAAGATGAGGCATTTGAGGAATATATGCTTTTAATAATTGCAAATCTTTTAATGACAACAGAGTCATCTGTTGTATTTGAGACAATTCGATCTTCGTTGCGATAATTCTTAGTTGAGTTTCAGGATCAAAAGGCTGCAATTGAGGTACGAAACCAAAAAACAGAGAGAAAAAGCTATCGAATAAGGACATCGTGATATTGATTTTGGTCACTTGTTTGAAGAACATTCCTTTATCCAATGTAGTCCAAGGACTGTGTTGTAGAAACTCACTAGTATTGATGTCAACAGGAACAAAGTGAGGTACTGTAAATAGACAATATTGATCATAAGCCACATACCAATGTTTCTCGACAAGCCAAAATGAAGTACAGAAAGATTCGAGAATTTCTGCAGTCAATGTATTGAGAATTTTTAACTTGAAGTTCAACATAGTGAGATTACTTGCCAAAATTTGCCAACGATTTCCATCGGCTAAATCATCGAGACCAGTGGCATACAATTCAAGATGTGTTAGATGAATTAATTTTAGCAATAATTTTTCAAGCTGATCGATCGAAACTGGTGAATCTGTGAGTTATCAAAGAAAATGCAAGATCGACTGTTAATAAAATATTTCAACTCTTATTTTCATTAAAGCGATTATACTTACCGTCAATTTTTAGGATGAGTCGTTTCAATTTCAAATGAGATGACAATAATTCGTAATCACTATGTGTTCCATCATCTTGGAGAGAAATATTCAGCGATTGTAAATGTGGTGTATGAGAAAGAATTATTCGAAATTCATCGATTGTTACTTTTCCAATTCTCAAATGGTGCATATATGGAAGTGTCTCTCTTGGTAAAACTTTGAAGTCGGAAAGATTTAATCGTTTTAATTTAGATATTTTTTCAATCAAACCATTCGATACGTAACTATGTGTTTGATGGATCCAATATGAATAGTTATCAATCTGATTTGAACGATAAGTTTTAATAGTCTTCGAATCATACGTGAATGAATTTAGTCGTTGAAGATGACGTAAATTGGAAAAGATCGAATTCAAAGAATCTAATTCAATATCAATCAACACTAATGATTGAAGTAGACTAAATTGTTCGATCCGAAAATATGACAAAAATAATGCAGATTGACCAGGTGTATCATCAGCATCGGATAGAATCAATGCAATAACTTTTGAAGGACGAATTCGTTGACAAACAAGATCAAAGTTAGACTTGGAGATTGATTTGAAATTAATTTTATATGAGGCATACGCAAGTAAAACACTATCAACATGATCGCTAATATTTGAAAATGAAAAGAAAATTTCATGAGCTAAGAAATAACTGAAAATCATGTGTAGAAGTTCTACTGGTAGAAAGTCGAAAAAAGAAGCTTTATTCGTCATGATCATAAAATTATCAAATGATAGCATGTGTAGTTACCAAAAATGAAACATATTTGTCACAAAGAAAGCAGTCAACTGTGAGAAAAAAAAACATGAATGACTCATGTTTCTATTTTATCCTACTTAGGCAGAAACAAAAACACTACGACAATGTGATAATGTGTTTTTTTTCGAAAGCACAAGAAAAAAACGCTTTATAAGTAGTCTATACAGCTTGTTGGAGGAAAAACATGTTGAAATGTGTTTATATGGATGATAATTGGTTTAAATACATTTAACAATCAAAACTTATAAAACTCGATCCATTTAAACATTTAAGAAAGTCTGTTCTAGCGCAATTATGTGAAAAAAGAAACTTTTTAAAATATATTTTGATCGATAGTCGAAACTCGTTTACGGTACATTTCTTTTGTATAACATTGTATTACATCAGAATGTGGATGTATGTGGATGAGGATTTTCTCTTCATTAACATGCACATTACTCCCAACTAGCTTTGTCTGCAAGAGTAAATGATGCATATGCATCTACCCTTATTTTACTAATGTCTGAGAGCACAATCAGTGGTGAAATATATATTTATATATATAGATAATATTGTTGTAAGCTTCAACAGATGAAACTTTAGGATGCTTACTCTTTATAGATTTTTTTATTGGTTTTTCTCTTTCTCTTTCATATTCTTCTTTTATCTTTCCATGATTGACGTCGTCTCATAGTTTGTTGTTGTCGATCTCTTAGATGTTGTTTAACACCTTTTTTTATTTCATTATTATATAATATTGTTATTATTATTGGAGAGGTTGAGCACAACTTTCGTCTGCATATATTTTATTGTGCTCGATTTCTTTTTTTACATTGAAGTACTAATTAAATGAAGAACAATAATAGTAATTTTTTTATTCAAGTATCTTCAGCATTTCATTCATTAAAATCAACAAACCATATGTGATCCATGAATTTTAATATTCACAAAAAATCTAGAAGGTACTCTAACTATTTATATTGAAAGTGATCGTCGTGAGTCAATACTACATATACCCAACCAATCAAGAAACATACAAGAACATATTACAATACATGAACATAAGAAAAAAATTATTTCAGAAAATAATAAATATATATCCAATAATAAAGTTAATTCACAAATCGAAATTAATACGATTTCAAATAATTCCGAGACTGATTCACATAAATTTGTTGATAGAATTGATCATTGTAATAAATCTAATAATGTCAATAGTGATATCATAGATAAACCTGAATTTTGAATCATTCAACATAGCTGATGAATTAACTCATACATATTACAAGTTTCAATGTTGTAGACAAAGGATGTGGGTCTAAGTCTTGTTACAACTGATACTCAATATGCTAAGTTGAAAAAAGCATTTGAAGAATTTGTAGATTTCATATGTCCGAGTTATGAACGTTTTTAAAACATAGCTGCGTTTCCTAGAATAATTCACCATACAAGAATATTTCTGTATGATGAAAATATTCAAGGCGAAAACTACCAGTTAGCTTCATTCAATTCACAATATGCGACAAGTTGAATTTCCTTTCAAATAATGAATATAGTGCTTTGTCGGCGTTCAAAACATTGAATGACTATTTCAAAAGTTTAGAACAAAGGATTCTTGGATTCTCTCCGTTTATCTCGTTTTTCTCCTAATCTAATTTCTTCGAATTAGTTGAAAATCAGTTTCGAATGATAATCAACTTAGGGTTATACATTAATTTTAAAAATTCGTTAAAATTATTAATGATAAATTATTGAAATGGTAAAAACCAGAAAATTACTGCTTGAGAGCATAAAATTTCTCTCAGAGAATAGACAATTTCTTTCTAAAAGAATCCTTACTTATGAAAAGATCTTCTTTCTCATCAAGAAAATAACCCAACTTTCTCATTGAAAATTAAAACATTTATTGTTAATATTCGTTCCACAGAGAAACTCACA